TTCACAGAACTTTTTCTCAGATATGTTTACAACTACCAGATTTAATCAATTAAAGGGTTTTTCTCTCTTATCTTCCTCTGTTTCCCTCTGTAATATTAGAAACAATGAAAGTGGAGATTAATATTCCACAGTCTTAAAAACCAGTATCAGAGTGATTGAGATTTTACTTAATTTCCTTAAGGGTAAGATGTAAGATACACTTAAACATGGGATACTGATAATATTAAAAAAATACAATTATCTATGAAACAAATTATATTCAACTATTATTAGAAAACATTAACCAATTGTTCATTCTGAGAGTTGGTTCTTTTACAATTAGTCTGCCATAATTTAGCTGTAATTATCTACAGACTGAAAACTCACTGCTTAGGCATTTGGATCTACTACTTAGTGGTTGAAGTTTTTCTCCATCTGCTTCTTTTTAATTTGAACAAATATATCTAAAGGTAAAATTTTTAAAAATTTGCTCTTCATATGCTTATATATTTCATTACTGAATGAGGTAGAAATACTAAGTCCTCCATCAACCACTATTAACCCATGTAACCTATGTGTGCATGTTTATATTTATTAAAACATGGAAGTAGTTTGCAAATATATTTTTTATTAGCCAACAAAATGCTAATTTGGGGATGTCATTTTTTGAAGTGAGATATATATTAAAATTAATAGCCTTGGTGTATGTTACGTTATATTTCCATTTATACTCACATATCATATGTAACTTTCTAGGTCTGTGGTTTATGCAGAAATGGAAAAAATCAGGTTCTCTTTTGCAACTGACATGTCGAGATCACTCAGACCCTCGCCAGACTTTCTTATATAAGCTTAGTAATAAAGCAGGTAAGTATATAGTGACAATTTAGAAAATATGCACATGAAAACCTTTTTTTAAATAAACTTTTAGCAAATAAATTAACATATCTTTCTGCTGATTAAAAAGTATCATTCTACTATAACTACGTAATGATGGAATAGCAGACTTACAGTTAAGACTAAGCAGTTGATAGAGTAGTTTTGTAATTTTTTCACATGACTGTATTTGTCTTTTATAAGGAGCTGAAGGACTAGTTTGAAATTATCCTAAAACTTTTATTATTTGTAATTCAGTGCCGGTTGTGTTCGTCTCTTTTTTAACTAGGCCTCTGCATGTTCTAACCCTCCTGTCCTTCTAGCTGTCCCCCACCCCAATCCTCAACCCTTTTTATAAACTGCCACATATTTTTCTACCTTCCCATTTCAGGGCTATCAAGCATTTCTGAAAAATACAGAAATTAAATTATTAATGGTTATTCTTTAACGATTCTCACTACTGGATGGCTCTTGTTACTCATTTCTTATTATTAAACTTGTTCCCCAGCATGCATATATATTCCAAGCTTTGACAGCCTGAAGTCCCCAACTGTTTATTTGCCATTCTTAGTCTCTAGATGACCTTACCATCTCCCACTGACGCATTATCACATCTTCCCAGTATTTTTTCCATTGTGTCCTTTGAAATCTCCATTTGCAGTAAACAGACTGCCTTCATATTTATCTTCTTCAAAGAATTCTATTTCCATAGAGACATAGAGACATAACTGAAACATAGAATTTTTCCTTGCTCCACCTCCATCTCCTCATTCCTCTTGGTTATAGAGCAGGAATTGGCAATTTTTTTTTT